GTTCGAATGCCTGTAACGTTGCGGATGCCAATTGCCGATAATTCAAGGTGTACCTACCCACGATATAACGCGCGGCCGCAGACGCTGACAGATTGCTGGGTACCGGGACAAGCCCTCTCGTTCAGCGCGGCCCTCTTTTAGGCGCGCCACGTTTTGGCGCGTTCCGGATACCACACGACTCGCAGCACTGCGACTCAGACCGCGCTCGCGACTCAGGGCTGATTCCGCCTGCGATCGGTATACGAGCTGCAGATCGATTGCGCTTGAGAGCTCGTAATTTCGCGGATTCGACTACCTTGGTGCGAAATATTACCAGTTACCAGTCGCCTCCACTTTTCCCTCGTTTATCTCGCCGATTGTAGGACAATTTCACGAGGATACTGTCAAATTTGCAATTCTTTATGACCGGTCAAACAAAGGCTCGAAGATAGTTTCGTAGAATATATCGTTTGATATGTGCAATAATTGCACTTGTCCACTGTCCTTTTAAACGGATATTTGATTCAATTGGACGTTTCTGATTCTCGCGAGAGAACACGAATAATCGATACGTAAATTTTGAGAGGAGCGGAGTTTGGATAGTTTCCAAGACTTTTCCTTTTCCTTGCGCCTCTCTCTCTCTCTACGTTAAATTTTAATTATTTACACAATGGCGGAGGAAGAATCCTGGCTATTCGCGTTATTAAGAAGCGTGCGATAACTCATGGGTGTGACCGAGTCGAATCGAAATACGGAGGAGGAATTTGCAGAAATATCAGGTGTTATTTTCTTCTCGCTCCACGTGTCGTTGCGAAACAATCGGGAAATAAAACTTCGAGGCGATAGAAATGGAAAGCGAGGAAGGTAAAGAGATTACCGTGGTGGAATAGAGTCGAAGCGGAAACAGCGCTGGACTCTTTATAGATCCTCGAATAGCGCGGGTAAATTATTCATTCCACGCGTGTAATCAAAGTTTTAAACGAATTGTTGGCGAAAAGCACGGATACGTGCGCGCGTCGTTTGTTTTCGAGAGGCTTTAATCGAAAAATAGCGACGACGATGGAAGGTACAACCTCTTGACTTCCAATCGCGCATATGCCTTTTAATATTAATGCACTACGTTGGCACCTACGTAAGGAAGCGAGCACACGTCGAGTCGCAACGGTGAATTTACGACGTATTAAATTGCGCTACTCGATATCTTTGTAATTTTCTCCGATGGGCATAAAACTGCGTGCTTACGACCAGGGGAAATAGTCGACTCGAAGGATTCGGCTCGAACCCGTGTTCCTTCGCTGAGACTAATTAAACCGGCCACCGGAATGAGAACAGAGACGTAGAGCCGTAATCTTTTTTATCGTTTTCAGATATTAATACGTTTATTATACATTACTGCTTATTGTACCAGAAAGAGAAAGAGATCGGGTTTAACACCGGAACTGCTACCAGCTACCTTTAACGCGTATCCAAATATGCTACATACACGTGATTATAATTAAAATATTATAAATCCACTCTGATTCTTTCAAAATTATCCGCGAGCCTTTTGCGATTCCTATGAATTAAATATTAATATTAATGATATTTAATTTTAATAGGAATAATTACGAAATAATTAGCATTCGTTTGTTAGGTTAGGTTCGCCAGTTAGTTCCGACACCTACAGCGCCCTCTATTATCCCTGAGACTTAGATCACGGATCAAAGACACGCGTTGTCGAATAATTAATTTAAAATTTAGTAAAGGAAAAATGATAAGGTCAAATGCAAAATTTTTAGATATTTCATTTCGATAGGAATAATTAGAAAATAAATAGCATTCGTTTGTTAGGTTAGGTTCGCCAGTTAGTTCCGACACCTATAGCGCCCTCTACTATCCCTGAGACTTAGATCACGGATCAAAGACACGCGTTGTCGAATAATTAATTTAAAATTTAGTAAAGGAAAAATGATAAGGTCAAATGCAAAATTTTTAGATATTTCATTTCGATAGGAATAATTAGAAAATAAATAGCATTCGTTTGTTAGGTTAGGTTCGCCAGTTAGATAGTCCCGACATCTACTGCGCGCTCTACTATCCCTGAGACTTAGATCACGGATCAAAGACACGCGATACCGAATAATTAATTTAAAATTTAGTAAAGGAAAAATGATAAGGTCAAATGCAAAATTTTTAGATATTTCATTTCGATAGGAATAATTAGAAAATAAATAGCATTCGTTGGTTAGGTTAGGTTCGCCAGTTAGATAGTCCCGACACTTACAGCGCCCTCTACTATCTCTGAGACTTAGATGACTTAGAAATTTAAAATACGGGCGTTTAGGGTACTGCAGGGAAAGGGAATTAAAGGGTCATCAGGAAATTTCCGTAAAGAAGAAAATTCGCAACTGCCTCGCGTGTTTTCTCTACCCGTTCGCGTCTTCATTCACGTTGTTCACGTGACGAGTAATTAAACTAATAACACCGGCTCAAAGAGAGTTTTCCGACTTTCTTATTCCCAGAGCTGTCTCGCGACCCGTTTCCAAGTGAAAAAGGTTTTTCCGCGCCATACTCGCGCCTCTGTTTACAACGCGCTTCTTCGTTTTGTTCAATATTCACTAACCCACTTCATTAAGCGTGGCTCGAGTCAAAAGTATTCGAGCTGTGCACACAATGGACATATCAGCGCCGTTCTCCACTGGTTTATTTATTTGTTTATTTATTTATAAGCGCGTAATTTACGAGGCTGTAGTCCCAGCTTTATCTCGAAAGTAATTAATTATGTCTTTATTATGGTATGCAGGAAGGATTGGAACGTTCTCCATAAAGCCTTTCTAAATTCTTTCCCCGTATGTCGTGGAATGCTTTCAAACAAATTAATATCGACCTCGTGTTTCAAATGTGTCTCGAAAGTTTCTGCCCAGAGAGTGACATGGCAGCCATAAACTTGCGAACTAGAAAGTGCTATAGTTCGCGAATCTTTAAATTTTCGAAGACGCATCAGGGAGTGTACGTGTCGAAATGTCAGAGGAAAAGGGTACTTCAAATTTTTTTAAATAATTCCTGAATTATTCGACGAAGATCGAGGTGTTCTTTGACAGAAGGAAGGCTGTCTATCTGGATCGCGATTAGGGGTATTCAAGGGTGAAACATATTTTATTCGTAAAAACACGAAATATCGTCGAAGGGTGTAATATTTTGGGAGAGAGGATTCTCATAGATAATAGCATTAAAATTTATAAAAATTCGAAATGTGGAAATAGCTAAAAATGGTCCCAGCCCTCTGCATTTCCTCGCAACGAGGGCTAGAGTAGACCATAAAAATCAGAAAAGGGGTCTATCTTCGGAAACTCCCTTTTTCCAAAGACCTCTTCAATTATACTCTTCTCTAATAATGACATTCGTTAATTTTCTGTCGTTAGTGAGAGAAAATATTAGGAATCAAACTGAAGGTTAAAGAAGCTAGACAATTTTCAACAAGATTTTGAAGATTCTTTGCCCAGAGCCATTGCTTTAACCCTTTGCACTCGAGGGGCGACTCTCAGTCGCCATTTTCTTTAATGCTGCAACTTAAGCAACGAATAAGAGACGATAACTATATCTAGAATAATTACACGCGAAATTTCTAAATAAAACAATTTTATTCATTAATTATTCCTCGCAAAAACACGTATTTTCCATTTTTTATTTCACCATAAAGATTATCATCGAGATAATTAGGATTATGAAAATATGAGGAAAGCTTGGTATTTCTGTCTTTTACCAGGGATCGAAATCAAGTAATTCCGTATTTTTCTTTCCTTATTTCACCATAAAAATGATCAGAGAGCTTATGAAAATATAAGGAAAGCTTGGAATTGTTGTGTTTTACCCGAGGAAAAAATCTTCGAGTGCAAAGTGTTAAGGGTACTCGGGACGAGGTAAAATTTGAGGAAGAATTGACGGTGGAGGTCGGTTGCCTGAAAAATACAAGGAGCCAAGTAGAGGCTCTGTCGAACACGAACTTACCTAGCATCTTGCTGAGATCGGCGTTGTGGAGATCGGGATTCTCGTCGGCCAATTTCTTGCGCTCGACCTTTGCCCAGACCATGAACGCGTTCATCGGGCGACGTATCCGTTGCTCCTTCAGGCTCCTCTGGGCCGTGCTGCCTGGATGGCACATCTTCACTCCCGCGGGAATCGGCGAGATGCCTTGTTGATATTCTAGCGACGGACCGGAAGCCAGCCAAGACATGTCCTCCAGTCGCTGTTGCGCCGGGCCGCTCAACATTCCCGGTATCTGAAAAGCAATTTCCGATTTCTCACACCGGGTTACAATTTTTCGATGCCTGACCCTCGATTCCCGATCCTCGAACTCGCTCGAGAAAATTCACTCCCGATCCTCGATCCTCGATCTACATCGAGAATCCATTTCAGATCTCTCAGCCTTAAACTTCGTTTATCGAGAATCGATTTCACGTCTCCGTCGAGAATCGATTCTCGATCTTCCATCCGGTATCCTCGAACTTCCTCGAGAATCGATTCTCCATCTTTCGATACAGAACTTCGCTCGATCCTCGATATTCGATCCGCGATTCTGGATCTTCCCTGGGTTTTAAACTTTACCGATTTTCGATTCGATCTTCTCGATCCCCGAACCCCGATTTTTGATCTTCCCTGGGTTTTAAATTTTACCAATTTTCGATTCAATCTTCTCGATCCCGAACCTCGATTTTTGATCTTCCCTGGGTTTTAAATTTTACCGATTTTCGATTCGATCTTCTCGATCCTCGAACCCCGGTTTTGGATCTTCCCTGGATTCTAAACTTTACCGATTTTCGATTCGATCTTCTCGATCCTTGGACCCCGATTTTAGATCTTCCCTGGATTCTAAACTTTACCGATTTTTGATTCGATCTTCTCGATCCTCAAACCTCGAACCCCGATTTTGGATCTTCCCCGAATTCTAAACTTTACCGATTTTCGATTCGATCTTCTCGATCTTCTCGATCTTCTCGATCCTTGGATCCCGATTTTGGATCTTCCCTGGATTCTAAACTTTACCGATTTTCGATTCGATCTTCTCGATCCTCGAACCCCGGTTTTGGATCTTCCCTGAATTCTAAACTGTACCGATTTTCGATTCGATCTTCTCGATCTTCTCGATCCTTGAACCCCGATTTTGGATCTTCCGTGGATTCTAAACTTTACCGATTTTCGATTCGATCTTCTCGATCCTCGAACCCCGGTTTTGGATCTTCCCTGGATTCTAAACTTTACCGATTTTCGATTCGATCTTCTCGATCCTTGGACCCCGATTTTAGATCTTCCCTGGATTCTAAACTTTACCGATTTTTGATTCGATCTTCTCGATCCTCAAACCTCGAACCCCGATTTTGGATCTTCCCCGAATTCTAAACTTTACCGATTTTCGATTCGATCTTCTCGATCTTCTCGATCTTCTCGATCCTTGGATCCCGATTTTGGATCTTCCCTGGATTCTAAACTTTACCGATTTTCGATTCGATCTTCTCGATCCTCGAACCCCGGTTTTGGATCTTCCCTGGATTTTAAACTTTACCGATTTTTGATTCGATCTTCTCGATCCTCAAACCTCGAACCCCGATTTTGGATCTTCCCCGAATTCTAAACTTTACCGATTTTCGATTCGATCTTCTCGATCCTTGGATCCCGATTTTGGATCTTCCCTGGATTCTAAACTTTACCGATTTTCGATTCGATCTTCTCGATCCTCGAACCCCGGTTTTGGATCTTCCCTGGATTTTAAACTTTACCGATTTTTGATTCGATCTTCTCGATTCTCGAACCTCGAACCCCGATTTTGGATCTTCCCCGAATTCTAAACTTTACCGATTTTCGATTCGATCTTCTCGATCCTTGGATCCCGATTTTGGATCTTCCCTGGATTCTAAACTTTACCGATTTTCGATTCGATCTTCTCGATCCTCGAACCCCGGTTTTGGATCTTCCCTGGATTTTAAACTTTACCGATTTTTGATTCGATCTTCTCGATTCTCGAACCTCGAACCCCGATTTTGGATCTTCCGTGGATTCTAAACTTTACCGATTTTCGATTCGATCTTCTCGATCTTCTCGATCTTCTCGACCCTTGAACCCCGATTTTGGATCTTCCCTGGATTCTAAACTTTACCGATTTTCGATTCGATCTTCTCGATCCTCGAACCCCGTCTTGCAATTTTTATATCTCGAGTTCCAATAACCGATTTCCGATTTTTCTGTCGTTCCGAGGACTTCGACTCTTTTTCGATATTCGACAGGTAATTTTGCAATTTCGATCAGCCAGCGACGAACGAACGGAAATGGTGCATCGATCTTCCCGATAATTACGCGCTTATTAACGAAAACAGGAGAAAGTCGCGCTCGATATTTTCCGATTCCATTAATACGTAATTACCGGGAGATATTAATCGGACAGCTAATGAACGCCGCTCGAACGCGGCATACCCGGTATTGTTGCCAGGTAAAAGCTGCTGTTCCAAGCCTCGCGGACTCTCGTTAGAATCGGCATTGTAATATAATGAAAATGAATAATGCGCGCGAGCGAGCTCGGAACAAACGTGGAAATAATTTATCGCGCGATAATGACGGCTGATAACTTAATGAACGAAGGATACGATGATAAATATTGAACCCTCGTGGGACCGCGGGATGGCTGTTACAATTGCTGGATCGAGGTTCGAAGGCAGGTCATGCTTTCGCGAGAAGATAAGGAAAAAGTGGTGCAAATATGAAATCGATCCGAATTTAAGGAGCACGTGTAACGAACCTCGAGTTTCCTTCGGGTCGTGCGTTTTAAATAACGATTCTCCACACTGGAACTACCAAAACAATCGAAATCGTTGCTTCCAAATTTTTCTTATTTCTCTATTTGCTTAAAAGAAACGTAATTTTATTAATTTCTCTATTTACCTACCGGTAATAATTATTTATCAGCGTGACTAACGTTGAGTTACGTTTCACACGTGATACAGTGTTATAGTATTTTTGTATTTGCACAGTCGGTAGTTCTAGTGTCGAAGAAGCAATTAGAAGCGAGATATGGAATACTACAAAGTTGTAAGACATTTTGTACTTCGATTACTCAACGACTTTGTCACTGTACATTGCGACACGTATCGAGCTTCCAAAATCTCCAAATTCTACATTTCTCCATAATTACTCGATTTTTTCGATCATCGAAGAGGTGTCTTGGAGAGACGAGCTACGGAAGAGAAACGATCTTCGACTGGGGAATTGGCTTTTAATCTCTTCAAAAGCACCAACACCCGTGCACGTTTTATATATCATGGCTACCAAGGCCTAGTTGTCACGCACGTGTAAATCATGCCACGGGTTTAATCCATTCCGCATCTGGATTTCGTTACGTAACGATCTCTGAAAACGTATTCCTAAATGGATATAAATTTTCACTTCTGCGTGCATTTCCCGCTCCACGATTTTATATCCCCCGCGATCATTTTAACACCGACAGCCACCGATTTCTTTGCCTCGCTCGTGCCGATGGAACGACGGTAAAGCCAGGCAAAAAGCCATCTTTTACAGCTTCAAAAAGTCCTTCCCCGAGGAGGTAAAACGCTCTCTCGAATGGCTCTGTCCAAGACCGTTTCCCTTCCGTGCTATTCTCTTCGAGTCGCCTTTGAGTAAAGCCGGCTCCACATGTGAGACACGGACATGTGAGTCTGCCAAATATTCGTCTCCCGATCTCTGTTACTTACCCGTCAGCCTCCTCGATCCACCGCGATCTACGACAGCGTGATCTCGCTATAGATCCGCGCAATCGGCTATAAAATGTCAGCCGTTTCGAGAGATCGGTTAGACGAGTGACGAATGTGTCCGATACTAGGCGTGTGGACCCGGCTTAACGTCGGGAACGCTGTAAAATAGTCGGAACGTAGGTGTGCACGCGTGACGTTTCGAGGTGAAACAGCGTTCCGTGAGTGAAAAATATGCGAGCCTATTTCCAAAGGAACGGTCTCTCCTGTCCGTGCTGGATCGACCGGACCTCGAACGTACCGAAATGATTTGGGTATCGATGGGCATGGAACTGTCGTTGCCGTCGATGTTCGACTCGATGTCGTAGGCCCTCGACGTGGGTGTCGCATAAAGCGAGGAATGAAGTGCCAAGAGTCCAGGGGAACCGCCATAACTGCTCACCGGCGGTGGTGTCACCTCACCCCTGTCATAATTATCCAGCATCCTATAAATTCAAACGCGATTTATTAATCATTAGTCCCGTTTATAAGGCGCGCTCGCTTTTGGCTAACGGTAAAATCGCTACGCATCCGGTGCTAGGCCACCGATAAAATAACGCGGCCGTGTATCGTTTCGCTTCAACGAATGGCTTGTTTGTCATGCGAGCATACACATCGCGATACAAGCCGCTTTCCTTCGATAAATCCCCATGCTGACAGCGATAGAGGGCCTGAGAATTCATTTCAGACGCCATCCGTGAAAATAATTATTCCACGTCCTTCCGACCACACCGCTCTCCCGTGGATCCCATCTATCGTCGAATATGGTTGTCTAGGGTCAGGGTGACACGGATTTTGAGTGGGTTCTCTATTCGATCGCTTTTCGTAATTTTCCTGACTTTTGGGGGGATGTTGTTATCGTGTAGACGGTGTTTCTGATTGCAAATGTCGTGCATTCGGTATTTGAAATTGTAAAATAAACTGATATTCTATATGGTTTGTGCTATAAGATCTATAAGGATCTATTCGCGAGAAAATAATTTTAGAAAAGGGTTCGTTACCTTACCTTTTATTTTGCAGTGAAATTTGGAGCGTAATTTGGATCGTTGAAAATAATACACTTGTATGATATTATTTTCTCTCTTTCAGGATTGAACTTCTAGATTAACAATCTATATCCTGGAAGGATCGTTCTATAATTAATTCTTGGAAATAATAAAAATAGTTTCACGTGAAAGATATATATTAATATGGAATTCCGTCTAAATAACAGGTTAAGGAGGAAATTTATGTATTTTATAGAGTCTCGGGATTTTAAAATCGGCATAACGTATATGATATTAACGATTAACAATGTAATACGAGAATCTTCGATCCATTATGTATAGGATATTTTATAAAAGGATCGGTAATAAACGTAGCGTATGAATAGTCAATCAGCGACAGGTATGATATATTAGGAATAAGTTAATAGTGGAAAGAAGGAGAGACTTATAATACATGGCATACGTGCACCCCGACGCCGCGTTTGAAGATTCGAAGTTCTTGCTAATCCAGATGAATTAATGATACTTCTCACGTCATTAAATTATAATTAAAGTGTTGACCCAGGAAGAAAGGAGTACAAGTGCAGAGGAAGCGATAATTAAACTTCATTCCAGAAAACGCGAGTCCATCTCGAGTCAGCATCGAAAGGAGCGCGAATCTACTCGCGGAATATTCACTTGGCTTTCTTTATCGGCAAACAATGCGACCGATCTTTTCCACGGGCATCTCTCCTCGTTAAACATCGTACCCATTACCTTCTTCGATCTCTACCTCTAAAATCCCCCGTCTCCGAATTTCCACCCAAAATTCCGAAAGAAAACGTGGAAAGACGTAAAGGAAAATAACGCGTGGAAAGAAAAACACAGCGAGACACGAGAAATTAGAACGGGTGGATAAAAATTTGGAGACAGACTGTGAAAGGCAAGGAGAAATTACGATTAAAGGCTGGAAGGAAAAAATAAACTCGGCGAGGTTTCTCAAAGAAATCAAAGAGGAAGATAAAAGCAAAAATATAGTACTCGAGGAGAAAGTACAAAGCGGCGACCCTAACCTATTAAATATAATCACATGCTAATTGGAATTGCACAGCTGCCCACGTGATGGCAAAAAGTTGCTAGATCAAAATAGCCAATACATTATTCAATAAAACCACTTTTATTTTTCAAAAGCCAACCTAATTTCGTATTAAAAATACCATCATCGTCTTTCGGACAACGCGATGCTAACCTCAAAAGTAAAACTTTGTCCCGAAGAGGAAAAGAAAATAGCTATTTCGTCCTAAAAGTACCATCTTCGCTTTCTACCCAACCCGAAGCTAACCTCAAAAGACGCGGAAGACCATAAAACCTGTCTAACGATGTCAAAGGATACGCTCGATCCGTCATGTTTCTTCGAATCCGTTCAGAGGAAAAAAAGCCGTTCAAACGTGGACAAATTTACCCGCGCCCAGGCCCGTGCTCATAACCGAGTCAGAAATCGTACATCGCGCATGCGCTTTTTCGTCCCGCCTTCCGCCGCGCCGTTTGAACCGGGCATCTTTGGAACTGGCTCCGCGGAGTATCCCGATTAAAAGCAAAAGTCAATTATTCCGATTGTCCGATGCGTCCGTCTGGCGTTGGGATAGGGAGGAGGACGAGGACGAGTTGCGCACGACGCGGATGGAATAGCATTCTCGATCAGTTCGATACCGGGGCAAACGAGAGCGCGCGCCGCGCCTCGTCTCGCCGCGCGCACCGCGCCGCGCCGCGGCGACCGGGAAAACAAGAGATCGATTCGTACACGCCGGCATTCGTATATACGCGAGGTAATTGACTTTGGCGTCTCTGTTTCGTCGTCGTCGCGGTCGTCCGCCCGGAGAGGAACTCGCAGCGGGGAGAAATCCCCGGTGGGTCGCTCGTGCCTCTGCCGCAGCCGATTGATCTGTCAACCCCGTTAGGAAAAGAGTTGATCGACATGAATGAACCATTCAAGGCCACTTAATGGAATTCCCACGATTGTCCTTAAGGCATAATGCGACCGTGCCTGGTATAATAGTACCAACAGCTCTGTGTCGCGCTTGCGCATTTATATATATATATATATATATTTATATACACGGGTATGTATATGATACGTGTAAATGGATTTGCGTATAGCCGAACATTGGCGTACCTACGATTTTGGGGATGACAGAATTTTATTTTTCTTTTGTTCCCGTTCAGGGATAGATATACTCTCTGCTCTATCGAAGTCGTGAAAGGTTAACGTTATTGATTCGTTCTTGATAATCATGCTGTGATAATCGTGATCCGATAGATTTGGTATTTGATGCTTGGAAGCTCGCGATATTTTCGGCGTATGGCAAGGGTGTCGAGGGGTCTAGCTACGTCAGTGGACCCCGGAGGGTTAGTGCAGCTTTCATTTCGCTTTATGGAAATTTTCCTACCAGAGCAGGAAGCAGCAAAGGAAATGTTCGTCCTCCGGAGATTTCCCGGTGAAAATGGTTCGGGTTATCGGGTACTCAACTGCATGGCTCGTATAAATACATATAAATACGCGAAAGGTGCGTGCACGCGTGCAGCGGGCAAGTATGCCTGGATCGTTATACGTGCACGTTCGATGCACGCCTAGCCGTGGCCGCGTCTCCGTGTATAAATTTAAAAACACGTAATACACACGTGCTCGCATGCATATATGTATATGGACACGCGAGTGTTCCACATAATGGCCATTGTTTCATTCGGTCCGCGAGAGATGCTGAGACGGGGGCAAAAACGTAGCGGCATTTTCATTCAATAAAGTTGGCCGGCTAGTAGCGACGCTTTTTGCTAGTAGTCCTCTCCCGGCACACGCTTCTCCCGTGATACTCGCTCGAAACGCGCGCGCCGCTGCTACTGTTCCACCGGTCTGAGCTATAGCATCGATAAGCGAGATCGATACGAGGTGTCGTTTTAATAACGCGCCGCCGGCCGATCCATCGCCCGGGGGTGCGATCCTTTCGGCGTGGGATGTTAAGTCAACGACCGAGACCTTATTTTCCCTTTTTTACTCTTATTTCAGAGAGAAAGAGGGAGGTTGAGAAAGAGAGAGAAAGAAATTTGGTTAATTTTGATCTTGGAAACTAGGGTCTTAGAACTTTCCTGTACTGTATAGAGAATATGTAGAATAGGTGTACCTTGTATTGTACATTGGATTGTAATTTAATTTGACATCGTTTATGAGAAAAATATGAAATTGAAGTAGCTTATCAATAATTCGTGAAGAGAAATTTGGTTAATTTTGATCTTGGAAACTAGGGTCTTAGAACTTTCCTGTACTGTATAGAGAATATGTAGAATATGTGTACATTGTATTGTATATTGGGTTGTAATTTAATTTGACATCGTTGATGAGAAAAATATGAAATTGAAGTAGCTTATCAATAATTCGTGAAGAGAAATTTGGTTAATTTTGATCTTGGAAACTAGGGTCTTAGAACTTTCCTGTACTGTATAGAGAATATGTAGAATATGTGTACATTGTATTGTATATTGGGTTGTAATTTAATTTGACATCGTTGGTTGGAGAAATATGGAAATGGAGTAGCTTATCAATAATTTGTGAAGAGCAATTTGGTTAATTTTTGATTTTATAAACTAGAGTCTTAGCACTTTCCTATACTGTATATAGAATATGTAGAATATGTGGAATATGTGTACGTTGTACATTGGGTTGTAATTTAGATTGACATTGTTAGTTGTGGAGGTATAGAAAATGGAGTAGCTTATCGATAATTTATGAAGAAAAATTTGATTAATTTCGATTTAATAAATTAGGGTCCTAGCACTCTCCTGTACTGTATGTAGAATATGTGGAATATGTGTACATTGTATATTGCGTTGAAATTTAGATTGACATTGTTTAGTTGTGGAGGTATGGAAAATGGAGTAGCTTGTCAATAATTTAATTCGTGAAGAAAAATTTGATTAATTTTGATTTTATAAACTAGGCTTTTAGCACTTTTCTGTACATTGCATTGTAATTTAATTTGACATCTTTGGTTAGAGTTTGATATGATGTCATATTTCATTATGATGTTGAGGTAGGATGTCAAATAAAGTTTGGCTTGCGAGGTGTTGAAATTTCTGAAAAAAGGTATATTTAAAACGCTTCTTTTTCATAAATTCCCCTAAAATTTGGACTCAATATTCCAACAATATCACGTGGTCTCGATTACAACTAGAATTTCTATAAATCTTCGGAATTTTACCGAGTGGCAACCGAGTACAAAGGATTTATTAAATGATCAAGATGTTTTATGCGTGATTCTGAACTCGAAATCTGCTTCTGACAAATGGTTATTATTCTGCTCTACGATATATGACATAATAATTTCGAAACGTGAAAGATCACGTCTCAGCAACAGAGTACTAAATATTCAAGCAGCGAGTCTTTGATAGCAACTGTAGGTGAAGAGGAAAACAACCTGTTAGATGTAAAT